CCCAGAGTAGCTAGGAAAGGGACAGGCAGGCTAGAAGAAATGGACACAAGAACTCAGGATAGTATAGGCCTTTATAGAGTCAGGCAGACAATTTCACATACCTCAGAAGGTCATAAAGCCATGATGACTTTACTCTAGAATAGCTATCATCCAGACATCTAGAAAATGATTGATTAGATTCAACATAAGGAGGCAGAGTAATATGTGTGGTGTTTTTTAATTTCAAACATTCCAAATAGTTAAGGGGTTTCATGCTTAAAGAGGCAAACTTAGCTATCTAGGACTTATTTATGAGTGCTCTAGGTAATTAGGATCTACTCTGTCTTATATTATTATTATTTTTTTTTTTTTTTTTTTTTTTTGAGACGGAGTTTCGCTCTTGTTACCCAGGCTGGAGTGCAATGGCGCGATCTCGGCTCACCGCAACCTCCGCCTCCTGGGTTCAGGCAATTCTCCTGCCTCAGCCTCCTGAGTAGCTGGGATTACAGGCACGCGCCACCATGCCCAGCTAATTTTTTGTATTTTAGTAGAGACAGGGTTTCACCATGTTGACCTGGATGGTCTCGATCTCTTGACCTCGTGATCCACCCGCCTCGGCCTCCCAAAGTGCTGGGATTACAGGCTTGAGCCACCGCGCCCAGCTCTTATATTATATTTTTATTCATTTATACCCTGTTACTAAAAAAAAAAAAAAAAGCAAAAGATCGAAGGCACTGGCTTTTAGTCTACATACTTTCTAGTTCCTGGCTCTGGTTCTTAGCAATATTTGCTGCTAACCTGGTATTCTGTCTCTGCCAAATTTTTCCCCATGTGAAATGTACAAGACTTGATTCTATTTATCTGCTCATTCATCTGCCTGAAAGGGTCATAGATGTCTCCCCCTCCCTTGAGCTAACGATGCTATATCCCATGATCTCAGCCAGCTAGAAAATGAACCATCAGGCCAGGCGCGGTGGCTCACGTCTGTAATCCCAGCACTTTGGGAGGCCGAGGCGGGCGGATCACAAGGTCAAGAGATCAAGACCATCCTGGCCAACATAGTGAAACCCCATCTCTACTAAAAATACAAAAATTAGCCAGGCGTGGTGGCGGGTGCCTGTAATCCCAGCTACTCGGGAGGCTGAGGTATGAGAATTGCCTGAACCCAGGAGGCGGAGGTTGCAGCGGTTGCAGCGAGCTGAGGTCACGCCACTGCACTCCAGCCTGGCGCCTGGTGACGGAGTGAGACTCTGTCTCAAAAAAAAAAGAAAAGAAAATGAACCATCATATGTCACCTCCTCCCCAATTACATGCTTCATAAACAGAATGCTTGGCATATACCAGCATTTACTAAACACTTGGTGAATGAATACATGAGCCAGTAATCCACAAGATATCTAAAATAAACTGCAGTTGACCCTTGAACAGCGCAGGGCCTAGGGGAGCCCACCCCTTGTACAGTCAAAAATCCTCATATAACTTTTTTTTTTTTTTGAGAGTCATTGTCACTGCCCAGGATGGAGAGCAATGGTGTATAATCTCAGCTCACTGCAACCTCCACCTCCTGGGTTCAAGCAATTCTCCTACCTCAGCCTCCCAAGTAGCTGGGATTACAGGCACCCGCCACCATGCCTGTCTAATTTTTATATTTTTAGTAGAGACGGGGTTTCACTATGTTGGCCAGGCTTGTCTTGAACTCCTGCCCTCAGGTGACCTACCTGCCTCAGCCTCCCAAACTGAGGAATTACAAGTGTGAGCCACAACACCTGGCCCACACATGTAACTTTTGACTCTCCAAAAACTTAGCTACTTATAGAAGACTTACCAATAGCATAAACAAGTTGATTAACATATATTTTGTATGTTGTATGTATTATATACTGTATTTCTTACCATAAAGTAAACTAGAGAAAAGAAAATGCTATTAAAATTATAAGGAAGAGAAAATATATTTAGTCTTCATTCAGTGGAAGTAGATCAGCATGAAAGTCTTCCTTCTCATCATCTTCAGGTTGAGCAGGCGAGGAGGAGGAGAAAGGGAAAGGGTTGCCATCTCAGCGTGGCAGAGGCAGAAGGAAGTGGAAGGGGACCCATGCTGTTCAAAACCACGTTGGTCAAGGTTCAACTGTACTTGTATGAAGCTATAAATTTAATTAAGAGCCTAGTCCATTATGGGAACAGTAATTTAAAAAAACACCAGTTGCCCGGGCGTGGCAGCTCACACCTGTAATCCTAGCGCTTTGGGAGGCCAAGATAGGTGGACCACCTGAGATCAGGAGTTCGAGACCAGCCTGTCCGACATGGTGAAACCCCATCTCTACTAAAAACACAAAAATTAGCCAGGGATGGTGGTGGGCACCTATAATCCTAGCTACTCAGGAGGCTGAGGCAGGAAAATCCCTTAAAACCCAGGGGCGGAGGTTGCCATGAGCCGAGACTGTGCCATTGCACTTCAGCCTGGGCAAAAAGAACAAAACTCCGTCTCAAAAAAAAAAAAAAAAAAAAAATCCACCAATTGATCCTGGCACAAGAAGATCAAATGGTACATATACTGTCATGTGGGGAAAGTAGGACACACATCAGTACAGTTTTTTTGTTTGGTTGATTTGAGTCACAGTCTCACTCTGTCGCCCAGGCATGATCTCAGCTCACTGCAACCTCAGCCTCCTGGATTCAAGCAATTTTCCTACTTCAGCCTCCTGAGTAGCTGGGATTACAGGCGCCTGCAACCACACTCGGCTAATTTTTTATATTTTTGGTAGAGACAAGGTTTACCATGTTGGCCAGGCTGGTCTTGAACTCCTGACCTCAAATGATCCACCTGCCTAAGCCTCCCAAAGTGCTGGGTTTACAGGTGTGAGCCACCGTACCCAACCAGTACAGTTTTTTGGTTTTGGTTTTGGTTTTTTTGTATTTTTAGTAGAGACAGGGTTTTACCAGGCTGGTCTTGAACTCCTGACCTCATGATCCGCCTGCCTTGGCCTCCCAAAGTGCTAGGATTACAGGTGTGAACCACGGCGCCCAGCCAGTTGGTTTTTTTTTGTTTGTTTGTTTTTTGTGTATTGTTTCTGTTTTTGGTTTTTTGGTTTTTTTTGATGTATGGGGGGACAATTACTAGAAGGACATAAACCAAGATATAACATAATATGCATTTGCTTATTTAACAAATAATTGAGCAATTTATTTCTGTATGATAATATTCTAAGCATTTTTGAGTTAACCAAACTCACAGTAAACCATATTGCCAGTGATAAACACTGCACTTACATAATTTGAAAGCAAGAATCACAGCAACTCATTAGGCACAGTGGCTCACACCTGTAATCCCAACACTTTGGGAGGCCAAGGCAGGAGGATTGCTTGACCCTAGGAGTTCAGGACAAGCCTGGGCAACATAGTGAGATCCCATGTCCACAAAAATTACAAAATAATTAGCCAGGCATGGTGGCAGCCACTTGTGGTCCCAACTACTCAGGAGGCTGAGGTGGAAAGATTGCTTGAGCCCAGGAGATCAAGGCTGTAGTGAGCTATGAGCATGCTACTGCATTCCAGCCTGGGTGACAGAACAAGACCCTGTCTCAAAATAAACAAAAATAAAAGCAAGAATTGCAGAAAGTATAAACCATGACCAACTCAAGAGAATAATCAATGAAAGAATAGGCAGAATGTCTTTCCAAAAAGCTGTTGGGAGACTCCCATCCTCCACATATGCACTAGCGCTGTGGGAATGTTGCCAGGCATGGCAGCCAGACCTCTAGATAGAACACTGAAGGTGAGTCTGCAGTAAAACCACGGAATACGCTCATTTTAGTTTAGGAATACCAAATGTTATTGACGGTTTTTTTTTTTTTTTTTTTTTTTTTTTTTGGGATGGAGTTTCGCTCGTTACCCAGGCTGGAGTGCAATGGCGCGATCTCGGCTCACCGCAACCTCCGCCTCCTGGGTTCAAGCAATTCTCCTGCCTCAGCCTCCTGAGTAGCTGGGATTACAGGCATGCACCACCATGCCCAGCTAATTTTTGCATTTTTAGTAGAGACGGGGTTTCACCATGTTGACCAGGATGGTCTCGATCTCTCGACCTTGTGATCCACCCGCCTCAGCCTCCCAAAGTGCTGGGATTACAGGCGTGAACCACCACGCCCAGCTATTGACGGTTTTTAATTCAGTAAGCAACCCCAGCCGTGTATAATCAGTTCATGACCCATCAGGAGATCCTCTATGGTAACCATGGCCTTTGGACTATACTCTGAATCATGGCTTTATAGAAGACATTTTTCCAGTATGCTTAAACAGATTTTATAGCTTGGCTGATGCCCAGATTACAGACTGTGAGGAGTATCTCCACACATCTTATAACTGCTATATATGCAGTCAGCAATCCCAGGATTTAGCCTGTTACTAATTTACATTTGTCCTCATCTGATAATCCTGTGCTAGCAAGATAGATCACAAAATGTAAATTAGTGTTTCTGGAGCATAGATGGGCACCCTCAAATCTTCATATCTTGTTTTTTAAAAATGACGAGGTCTCGCTATGTTGCTCAGGCTGGTGTCAAACTCCTCGACTCAAGCAATCCTCTTGCCCCAGCCTCCCAGCGTACTGGGATTATACGTGGGAGCCACCATGCCTGGTTTCCTTGTATCACTTTTTTTTAAATTCACGTAAGAGAAAATTGCTGGCAATAGTTCATAGGCTATAAATGAAACCTAGTCTTAGGACCCAGCTTTATATTGCCTCAGTCAAATATTAATATCTTCAGTTCAAAATCTGTATTTATAAAGAAACTTTTGGTTCTTGGGGATACTGTTATTGTCTTCTCTGTTGCCATCATAGAGAGAGAGAGAGAGAGAGAGAGAGAGAGAGAGAGAGAGAGAGAGTGTGTGTGTGTGTGTGTGTGTGTGTGTGTGTGTGTGTGTGCGTTTTCTCTCTCTGGGCCCGTTTCATGCCAGATAAACTTCCAAACCAAACTGGGACAGCATCAGGCACAAATAACCCTCTTCTTATCTTTCTCCCCACCTAGGTTACCCCTTTGCTTTGTTTTATCGACATTACCTTTTCTACAAGGAGAGCTACCTCATCCACCTCTTCCATACCTTTACAGGCCTCTCAATTGCTTATTTTAACTTTGGTGAGTAAACTAAGTTAGCAGTGACACTGCAATTAGAGGGAACCTGGGAAGGAACAGACTTGAACAAAATTTTCTTGAGAGAATCTGATGGGTAGGAAAGTTATAATGTTCCTGCTTGCAAAGAGGGTTGTATGGACAGAAACACAGCTTAACTTTTCCTTTTTCCCTTTCATGTACATTCTTCTGTCAGATAAAAACATTTTGAGGGTGGTTACCCTTGCCAGACCCCATCAACAAAGAATCCTCAGTTTCTCTCTGATATGGATGTAACTGAATGACCAATCCAAGCAATCCCCACTTAGATTCATTCTTCACTTCAGACATTCAAAAACACAGTAACAAGCTGGGTGTGGTGGTACTTGCCCGGAATTTCAAGGCTGTAGTGAGCTATGATTGAGCTACTGCACTCAAGCCTGGATGACAGAGCAAGTCTCGTCTCTAAAAAAAAAAAAGAAAGAAGGAAAGAAAAGAAATACAATAGCACCCGAATAATCTCTTATATTTATCCAATTAATTTCCATCTTCTCCTCCAAAACATGATGTTATTCTGAAAATAAGATCCTGATGCCAATGTTTTTCCTTTATATACTATGCTGTGATTGGAAGTCTCAGGACCGGTGAGAGTGTAAAAACCAGGCTAAATTCTCTCTTCTTGCATCCAGGAAACCAGCTCTACCATTCCCTGCTATGTATTGTGCTTCAGTTCCTCATCCTTCGACTAATGGGCCGCACCATCACTGCCGTCCTCACTACCTTTTGCTTCCAGATGGTAAACTTCTTTCCCTTAGCAGTTCAGGCTACAGCTAACAGCAGTTCAGGGGACAGGCGTAGGCAGGGAACTATGGTGTAGAAATTAGCAGACCTAAGGCCAGGCGCAGTGGCTCACGCCTGTAATGTGAGAACTTTGGGATGCCTTTGGGAGGATCATGAGGTCAGGAGTTCGAGACCAGCCTGACCAACATGGTGAAACCCCGTCTCTACTAAAAATACAAAAATTAGCTGGGCGTGGTGGCCCGTGCCTATAATCCCAGCTACTTGGGAGGCTGAGGCAGGAGAATCGCTTGAACCCAGGAGGCGGAGGCTGCCATAAGCCGACATGGCACCACTGCACTCTAGCCTGGGCAAGAGAGCGAGACTCCGTCTCAAATAAAAAAAAGAAAGAAATTAGCAGACCTAATTTCTAACCCCTCCCCCAGCACCTAGCAGTATGACTTCGGGTAGGTGGTTTATCATCAGCCCCAAGTGTTCCATCCACAGATTGTAATGGTAACTGTTTGCCTGCCTCAAGGAAGGGCTACCACCTAAGCCTTTGCATACTGTGTCATTAGGTCTTTGATTTAGCCCGCTATCCAGGAGGAGAGTCACTTCAAAGCAAGACAGAAAAGCAACAGAATGAGTTAAAGAAGCTAAGCATAGGCCGTGCACAGTGGCTCACACCTGTAACCCCAGCACCTTGGGAGGATAAGGCAGGCAGATTGCTTGAGCCCAGGAGTTTGAGACTAGACTGGGCAACCTGTGAAACCCCATCTCTACAAAAAAAAAAAAAAAAAAAAAAAAAAAAAAATTAGCCCTCCAGCCTGGGCAACATGGTGAAACAAACAAAAAAATAAAAATTGGCCGGGTGAGGTGGCATGTACCTGTGGTCCCAGCATCCAAATTCTCTTCTCAGTTTAGTCCTCATTTTGCTGAGAAGCCTTGAGCAACTCTCTTCCCATTATACGTTCTCAGCACCTCATCTGTAGGAATTTATTAAGGCTTTTAGTGATGGGATGAGGAGAAAGGAAAAAGGAAAGAGAACATTGAATTTCAGAGCAGGGAAAAGAAACAGTAGTGATGGTAGAATAAAAACTTCCACCTCTCCTAGGTCTACCTTCTGGCTGGATATTATTACACAGCCACTGACAACTACGACATCAAGTGGACAATGCCACACTGTGTTCTCACTTTGAAGCTGATCGGTGAGTGATGGTCACTGCCTGCCTTCCTCACGTGTAGGTCCCTCCCCAGTCTCGCCAAAAACTTCCTCGGCACCCCCCGCCGTACACTTGGGGCTGCACTCAGTCCACAGGCCACGCCCTCAGTGCCCTCTCCCACCACCCTACCCACCCGTTCTCTCTCTGCTCAGGTTTGGCTGTTGACTACTTTGACGGAGGGAAAGACCAGGTAAGTACCCATTCATCCACAGAGAGGTTCAAGACTTAATGAAAGGGAAGAAAAAGGCTGTTAACAAAAGACTGAACCCAAATTCCAGAGCAGAGCCTCTCCCTCATTCCCCAGCCTGTGCGATCTCCCTTTCGGATAGCACTGAGCAAGGATCAACAAGTCTAATCTGCCCAGGACCCAGCTCTTGCACAAAGTCCAGAGATCAGTGCCAGCAAGGCATTTGCTAAAGCAGCAACAACCAGCTGTTATTGTTACACACACACACACACACACACACACACACACACACACACACACCCATTTCCACAAGAAGCAACTCTTTGTCATCCCCCAAAGAGAAGGCTATTTGAAGAACCCCAGTCAGTGGGGCACCAGGGTGGGGAACACTCAAACTGGCTCTTGGGGGGAGATTCAAGGCTATCCTGAACCATGCATTCTCTTCTTGGCATAGAATTCCTTGTCCTCTGAGCAACAGAAATATGCCATACGGGGTGTCCCTTCCCTGCTGGAAGTTGCTGGTTTCTCCTACTTCTATGGAGCCTTCTTGGTAGGGCCCCAGTTCTCAATGAACCACTACATGAAGCTGGTGCAGGGACAGCTGACTGACGTACCAGGAAGGATACCAAACAGGTAATTGCCCCTCTTGGCCCAGATGTCCATGTAGGTATCTCACTCACTCTGAAGGGACTCTTCTGAAAGCTGCATTCTCCAGCCTGGCCCTGGCATAGAGACCTGTGTCACACAGGCCTGGACTGTTGTAACAGGTGCTCTGTGCCAGGAGTGGGTCCTTTTTAGCTTAGGGTTCTTCCAGCTATCTATTCTGATACTGTTAGAAACATAAAAATCCATGTTTATGCCACAGGGGTTTGCCTGAACCAGTCACATTTCTGCCTTTAAAGCCCATTTTCATATATATATGAAATATATGTAAGCGAGATAGAGATAGAGATAGAGGCTAGGCACAGTGGTCTCACCTCTATAATCCCAGCACTTTGGGAGGTTAAGGTAGGAGGATCGCTTGAGCCAGGAGTTCTAGACCAGCTTGGGCAACATGGAGAGACCCTGTCTCTACAAAAACTACAAAATTGGCCGGGTGTGGTGGCTCACGCCTGTAATCCCAGCACTTTGGGAGGCCGAGGCCGGTGGATCACGAGGTCAAGAGATCGAGAGCATCCTGGTCAACATGGTGAAACCCTGTCTCTACTAAAAGTACAAAAAAGTAGCGGGGCATGGTGGCGCGTGCCTGTAATCCCAGCTACTCAGGAGGCTGAGGCAGAATTGCCTGAACCCAGGAGGCGGAGGTTGCGGTGAGCCGAGATCGCGCCATTGCACTCCAGCCTGGGTAACCAGAGTGAAACTCTGTCTCAAAAAAAAAAAAAAAAATTAGCAGGCATAGTGGCATGCATCTGTAGTCCCAGCTACTTAGGAGGCTGAAGTGGGAGGATTGCTTGAGCTCAGGCAAGGTGGGTCAAGGCTGCAGTGAGCTTTGATCACACCACTGCACTTCCTTCTGGGATACATAGCAAAATCCTATCTCAAAAATATTTATTTATCAGTAGGAAATGTAGGAGGGTACAGTGGCTCATACCTGTAATCCCAACATTCTGGGATGCCAAGGCAGGAGGATCACTTGAGGCCAGGAGTTCAAGCCCAGCCTGGGCAACATAGTGATACCCCCATCTCTACAAAAAATCAAAATTAAAAAAATTATACAGGCAAGATGGTACATGCCTATAGTCCTAGCTACTCAGGAAGGTGAGACCGGAAGATTGCATGAGCCCAGGAGTTCAAGGCTGCAGTGGGCAATGACTGTGCCTCTGTACTGCAGCCTGAGTGGCAGAGCAAGACCCTGTCTCTAGAAAATAAAAAAGGAAAAAAGGTAAAAAAAAAAAATTGTTTAATTGCCAAAATTCCTTCACTGAGAACTTGTCCATCCTGTGTTTCAGCATCAATTCAACCAAGAAATGAAGGCGCAGATTCAAAGTGGTTACTTTTATTATCTTACATCCACTGGGTTTTAGTCCCAGTGGAGATTGTGAAACCTGGTGAGATCTTGAGATCAGTAGCATCCTGAAGGGGAAACACCAAATTGGTCCACTGCCTGCTGCCCTGGCCTGCCCACAACTCTTTTTTTTTTTTTGAGACGGAGTTTCACTCTTGTTACCCACCCTGGAGTGCAATGGCACAATCTTGGCTCACCGCAACCTTTGCCTCCTGGGTTCAAGCAATTCTCCTGCCTCAGCCTCCTGAGTAGCTGGGACTACAGGCATGTGCCACCACGCTCGGCTAATACTTTGTATGTTTAGTAGAGACGGGGTTTCACCATTTGACCAGGATGATCTCGATCTCTTGACCTTGTGATCCACCCACCTCAGCCTCCCAAAGTGCTGGGATTATAGGCATGAGTCACTACGCCCGGCCAACTCTTAAGAGGTTTGCAGTCCCCATTCCTTATAGCCAGCCATAGAGATCTTTCCCTGAAACAGGAAACACTTTGGGCAGCAGAGCTTCTCATCCCATTCCTGGTGGACAACCGCACCCCCAAACACTCCTCTCCATAACTAAAGGTCAGAGGGTGAAGGGAATAGCCTCTGCTCTCTGTGACCAGGACCTCTACTCCTTCCTTTCCAGCACCATTCCCGCTCTCAAGCGCCTGAGTCTGGGCCTTGTCTACTTGGTGGGTTACACTCTGCTCAGCCCCCACATAACAGAAGACTATCTCCTCACCGAAGACTATGACGTGAGTGTCTCCTAAAGTAGCAGCAGCATGACTGCACCAGAGCTAGAAAATGGACAGGCAAGGATCCCTATAGATAGCAGAGAAGTAGGAAATATCGTCTACAAATGCATATTGGTTTTGCTCTAGATCGGTGAGTTGGTGTCAATGCCAGCCGGGCCGGAACACATTCATCAGCCAGCACTGAACGAACCTTCGCAGGCACAGGGCGGTGCCAGGCGCACATTTAGCACCCCTTGCCTTCTCTAGGAGCCGCTCCTAGCTTGCCTTATCACATCCACGTGACCCCTGAGAGCACAGCAGCTTCTGATTCTCCAGCCTATTTTCTTTTCTTGACTGATAAATTTGGGCGTTTCTAGGGAATTCAGAGAAACCAAGGGAAGAGGGGAAGTGCTGGAAAGGCTTGAAAGAGATCATTCTGGGCAGGCTTCTCTCTTTAAATTAAAATCCAGTGTGGGCCCCTCCGTACTTAACATTCCAAATGCTCATTCCAAAAACATTGCCAACAAAGGCAAACACTAGAGCAGTTAAACAGTGCTGCCCTTGGGACTCTCCAAGGGAAAGGCGAATGGATATTCTCCAGGCCCTCCGCTTACTCATCTCTGCCTGTTGTGAAGGCCATCAGGCCAGACGGGGGCATCTGGCAGCAGGACTTAGGCAGATATGAAGTAGCCAGCCACAAGTGTGAAAAGGAAGTGCTAAGACAAACGGCCTTGTCCTGCGGTATCCCTAATGCGCTGTGCTTTCTTCTCCCAAGAACCATCCCTTCTGGTTCCGCTGCATGTACATGCTGATCTGGGGCAAGTTTGTGCTGTACAAATACGTCACCTGTTGGCTGGTCACAGTAAGTAGAAAAGTTGAAACAGGGTCCTATTTAGACAAGCTGTGGGGGCCGGGGTGGGGAGTGGCAGGAGCCCTAACTGACCTATTCCCTCTCAGGAAGGAGTATGCATTTTGACGGGGCTGGGCTTCAATGGCTTTGAAGAAAAGGGCAAGGCAAAGTGGGATGCCTGTGCCAACATGAAGGTGTGGCTCTTTGAAACAAACCCCCGCTTCACTGGCACCATTGCCTCATTCAACATCAACACCAACGCCTGGGTGTCCCGGTGAGCTGCTGGAGGGGAGCCTGGACCCTGGTTCCTTCCTTCCACTGTCTTCCCAGATTGAAGGGCAGAGGGGTACCATGTCACCCCTATGCATCTTTCCCACCTGGGCAGAACCCCATCACTCACACTGACTTTAACCCCCACCCCTACTCCCCTCCTCCAAACTGTTCCTGTCTTATTTGAAAAAAAGGCAAGATATAAAAGTGCCTTGTGCCCTGAGTGTTACTCCAGCTCTGCCGCTGGACTTGCATCCTCCACTGCCCTGTTTATAAACAGCTCTACTTGTTTGTCCCCACCACTAGAGTGTGGGCAGCTTGAGGGGAGTCTGGTTCACCACTGAGCTGAGTATCAGCACTCAGTCTGCTGCTGAACCAAGTGGCTCCTGCTTCCAGCTTCGCCTTGAGTCTGCCTTTCATGTCTAAAATTAATCAGCACTGCCTCCATACCCCTGGGGGGGCTACACGTGGGAGCCCACCAGCACTCCACTCCGATCCTCAGGGTGTGAGGACCCAGAGGCAGGTGGCAGGATGCAAGAACCAGTCAGTTTGAGGGTCACCCCACCCGCCCTTTTCTCCAGCTACTTCTTCAAACGACTCAAGTTCCTTGGAAAGAAAGAACTCTCTCAGGGTCTCTCGTTGCTATTCCTGGCCCTCTGGCATGGCCTGCACTCAGGATACCTGGTCTGCTTCCAGATGGAATTCCTCATTGTTATTGTGGAAAGACAGGTAGGCCTCCAGGGTGGGGGTGAAGGGGAATATGAGGGACAAGACGCTGATGAGCTTCTCTTCCTTCCCCAGGCTGCCAGGCTCATTCAAGAGAGCCCCACCCTGAGCAACCTGGCCGCCATTACTGTCCTCCAGCCCTTCTACTATTTGGTGCAACAGACCATCCACTGGCTTTTTATGGGTTACTCCATGACTGCCTTCTGCCTCTTCACGTGGGACAAATGGCTTAAGGCAAGTGAAGGCCTACCTGCGAGGTTGGGAGGGTCTGACTGCAGCCTTGGGCAGCGAGGGATGCTCCAGGCCGGTCTACTTCAGTGGCCTCTCTCTCCACAGGTGTATAAATCCGTCTATTTCCTTGGTCACATCTTCTTCTTAAGCCTACTATTCATATTGCCTTATGTTCACAAAGCAATGGTGCCAAGGAAAGAGAAGTTAAAGAAGATGGAATAATCCATTTCCCTGGTAAGTAAACACAGCTAAGCTACTACCAGGTTACAGAATAGAACAGACTGGAAAAAAGTAGTATTAGGCATTTGGGTGCACTACAAGGATGAGCCTGGCTACTAAGGGACACAGTAGGGACACTGACTACTGTGATTTACTGAAGCATGCTAGGAAACATCTGGAAAGGCTGCAGACCAGGGACTAGGGGAGTAACTGACCAGCCTTCCAATCACATCTCTTCTTGCAGGTGGCCTATGCGGGACTGGTGCAGAAACTACTTGTCTCCCTTTCACAGCACTCCTTCGCCCCAGAGCACAGAGAACGGAAAAGCCAGGGAGGCGGAAGATCTGATGCTTCCAGCTGTGCCTCTGCTGCCAGCCAAGTCTTCATTTGGGGCCAAAGGGGAAACTTTTTTTGGAGACGGCGTCTCGCTCTTTCGCCCAGGCTGGAGTGCAGTGGCATGATCTCAGCTCACTGCAACCTCCACCTCCCGGGTTCAAGCGATTTTCCTGCCTCAGCCTCCCGAGTAGCTGGGAATACAGGCACGCGCCACCATGCCCAGCTACTTTTCGTATTTTCAGTAGAAATGGGGTTTCACCATGTTGGCCAGGCTGCTCTTGAACTCCTGACCTCAAGTGATCTGCCCACCTCAGCCTCCCAAAGTGCTGGGATTATAGGCGTGAGCCACGGCGCCTGGCCCAAAGGGGAAACTCTTGTGGGAGGAGCGGAGGGACCTACATCTCCCCTCTGGCTCCCCCATGCACGGTTGCCTTATCTCTCCCCCTCTAGCCAGGAATCTGTTGTGTTTTTCTTCTGCCAATTTACTATGATTGTATATGTGCCGCTACCGCCACCCCCCCCATGGGGGGGTGGAGAGGGGTGCAAGGCCCTGCCTGCTCCACTTTTTCTACCTTGAAACTGTATTAGATAAAATCACTTCTGTTTGTTCAGTTTTTCACCACCAGCATTCCTGACTGCTCTTTCACAGTTCTCCATCCCTGCCATGGCTGATAATCAGGGTTCTCTCCTTCAGAACACAGCAATCTAGGAGCTAAAGCCTGCCTTCAAAGCATGGAACCAAACTAACTGTGTAACCTCATGTCTGTCCCTGAAGTCCCAGGGGAACAAACAGTTTTACACCGTTAGATACTTTAGGAATCCCCGAAACAACCAGGTTTGCAAGAGCAGTATTCATAGGATAAACAAATAGCAAGTGGACAGCCTTGGCTCCCCAAACTCCACAGTCTCAGTGCAGAAAGATCATCTTCCAGCAGTCAGCTCAGACCCGGGTCAAAGGATGTGACATCAACAGTTTCTGGTTTCAGAACACGTTCTACTACTGTCAAATGACCCCCCATACTTCCTCAAAGGCTGTGGTAAGTTTTGCACAGGTGAGGGCAGCAGAAAGAGGATAGTTGCTGATGGACACCATCTTCTCTGTATACTCCACACTGACCTAAGGAGAGAACAGTTTTGTCAGCCAACTCTGTCACTCAGCAGCTGTTCGACCCTTCCTTAGGGCAGGAAAACTATAGCTAACCTAATGTTTGAGCTGTGCTGTGTAATATCAAACTCCTACAAAGGATGAAGAAGGTCCTAACTGTGACTATCACAAACATGGCAGCAGTCCTCAGGATGCACCCTGGGGTAGGGTATGGAACCGTCATGTGTCTTCTAGCTCATTGTAAGCATTGCTAAAATGCCTATTGCTCTGGGAATTCTTAAGTACAGCTCTACCAAGAATCTCAGGGTTGAGCCCAGACCTTACCTTACCATGGGCAAAGGCCCCCACCACAAAAACAACAGGGTCACTGCTGGGCACTAGCTCACGCACATCACTGACAACCGGGATGGAAAAAGAAGTGCCAACTTTCATACATCCAACTGGAAAGTGATCTGATACTGGATTCTTAATTACCTAAAGTAAAAAAGAGAAAAGTCAGCCTCAGAAACATTCCCAGAACCAACCTTGAACTAGTAGATTTCAATACCTCACCTTCAAAAGCTTCTGGGGACCATCAGCGGCTCGGACACTGAGCTTGTGTAAAAGCTGAACTAGAAAGGAGAATAAGAGTTCAGAGCTAGATGGAGACCACAGGCCTTCTGTCCAGTCATCGAACAAGGAAAACCCCATAGGTAAGATGGGTTCCCTGTGTGCTTTATATCCAGACTGGACTCCTGAAATGTCAGGAACGAAGAGCTGCCAGGCATATGGCTAGCTGTACAGTGATAGGTTCAGACTCCCATTTTCACTCCGCAGGGAAGCTACTGCGACAACAGGAGAGTGGAGTTTCCATAAACAAAAATAATAGGAGTCCTTGTCCTAGTATTAATCATGTCCTCCCATCTCCACCCTTTAAAAAAGCCCACATTTAGTTCTCCCTTTTCCTCTTCCTCCCTTCTTCTCTACCTCCAAGTTCATTCTGAACTTTTGTTCTAAGGCTTCTTACCCATGAGGCCACAAAAGCGGTCAAAGGTTCTGGGAATTCGGGTCTGGGGGTTCACTTCAATCAGAACATTCTTCTGTGTGTGGATATAAACCTGCAGCAAGCCAGCTCGGTTCAGGGGACTATCCATCAGCATCAGCAAGCTCTGACCAAAGCAGAAACCAAGGCATGGTTAAGGCTGAAGAGACCCTTCCATACAGAGACTCAAACAGTTGTGAGCGTTGTCCCTGGAGTTACCTGGTGGGCTATGTCTGGCCGCACTTCCCCGGGGTCCCGTCCATTCTTCAACAATATAGACTTGTGCTTGTCACAGTTGAGTAGCTCGTATGTCTTCCCTACCTGAACAGGGGACATGACCAAAGAACAGCATAAGCTTTGTTACCTAGCCCTGTGATTCTTTAAGTGTGGTACCCAAACCACCAGCAGCACTTGCACCTGGAAACTTGTTAGGCAAATTCTCAGGCCCACTCTAGACCTACTAAACCAGAAACACTTGAGGTGGGGCCCAGCAAGTCCTTCAGGAGATTACTGTGCAGCTATATTTGCACTCCCCAGTAAATGGGTCTTAGAGGGAAACAGGAGGAAGGGCACAACCTTTGACTTCACATTATCTACCAATACACTGGATTTACTTTTTTTTTTTTGAGACGGAGTTTCGCTCTTGTTACCCAGGCTGGAGTTCAATGGCGCGATCTCAGCTCACCGCAACCTCCACCTCCTGGGTTCAGGCAATTCTCCTGCCTCAGCCTCCTGAGTAGCTGGGATTACAGGCATGCGCCACCATGCCCAGCTAATTTTTTGTACTTTTAGTAGAAACGGGGTTTCACCATGTTGACCAGGATAGTCTCCATCTCTTGACCTCGTGATCCACCCGCCTCAGCCTCCCAAAGTGCTGGGACTACAGGCTTGAGCCACCACGCCCGGCTCTGGATTTACTTTTAAAGCCTGTGGCTGTTAGGCAAAGCTAATGAGACATCCTGGAACCAAGCAGGAGTTAGTAGTTAGTGAGCAAGGCTGAATGCTGTGTTTATCGCAGGAGCAGTATGTATGTACTGTCCAAAATATAGTAACTACCCTCAATTTGTTTACATCAAACATGGCACTAAGTGAAGAGCTGCAAATCTGAACAGGAAGAAGTGTGAAAATACTAATGATGCAGGAGGCAATTAAAAAAAAAAAACTCTCAGAAGTAAAATGAGGGGTTACTCCCAGTTTTTTTTTGTTGTTGTTTTTTGTTTTGTTTTTTTCTTGAGACGGAGTTTCGCCCTTGTTACCCAGACTGGAGTGCAATGGCGCGATCTCGGCTCGGCGCGATCTCGGCTCACCGCAACCTCCGCCTCCTGGGGTCAGGCAATTCTCCTGCCTCAGCCTCCTGAGTAGCTGGGATTACAGGCACGTGCCACCATGCCCAGCTAATTTTTTGCACTTTTAGTAGAGACGGGGTTTCACCATGTTGACCAGGATGGTCTCGATCTCTCGACCTCGTGATCCACCCGCCTCGGCCTCCCAAAGTGCTGGGATTACAGGCTTGAGCCACCGCGCCCGGCGCACTCCCAGTTTTAAGATTGGCATGAGGGTGGGACATGGTGGCTCACACCTGTAATACCAGCGCTTTAGGAGGCTGAGGCAGGCAGATCACTTAAGGTCAGGAGTTCAAGACCAGCCTGGGCAACATGGTGAAACCTCGTCTATACGAAAAATACAAAAACTAGCTGGGCATGGTGGCGCACGCCTGTAGTCTCAGCCTCTTGGGAGGCTGAGGTAGAAGGATGGCTCGAGCCCTGGAGACGGAGGAGACTGCACGACTGCACTCCTGCCTGGGTGACAGGGCAAGACCCTGTCTCAAAAAAAAAAAAAAAAAAAAAAAAGGCTGGGTGCAGTGGCTCACGCCTGTAATCCCAGGACTTTGGGAGGCCGAGGCGGACGGATCACGAGATCAGGAGATCGACACCACAGTGGCCAACATAGTGAAACCCCCGTCTCTACCAAAAATACAAAAAAATTAGCCTGGCATGGTGGTGGCGTGCGCCTACACTCCCAGCTACTCAGGAGGCTAGGGCAGGAGAATCGCCTGAACCGGGAGGTGGAGGATGCAGTTAGCCGACATCGCGCCACTGCATTTCAGCCTAGGCGACAGAGCGAGACTCCGTCTCAAAAAAAATAAAGAAAGAAAATGAGTATTACCATCCCAGGATATCAAATCAACAGACAGCCAACCAAGCCACCTTTCTCCAAAGCATTTTTCACCCCTTTCTGCTTTCTCCATCCACTCTGAGCCCCTCACCCTCATTCCACGGAGTCCCAACCTGCGATTTACTAGTTCTCCACTTCCTTTCCCAAACTACCTTGACTGTCTCCAGACTGGCCCCTTCCAGCACCACAATAAGCCTACGGCCTCCGATCTTGTTTCCTGCCCCGACTCGGGGCCGCTTGGGGGCCACAGCATCCCAGTCGTCAGCCTGCTCCCCACCGCTTCGTTCACGAGGCTTGAATCCACCACTGGGCGCGGCCATCTTGCAACCAGACCGGAAGTTGCGCTAGCACTCGTGAAGCAGAACCCCGCGGGTTTTAATCACAAATTTCCTTCCGGCTGCCATTTTGAAAGTGGGCTTGGAAATGGCGATGACTTGCTGTCTTGCGCTGCCCTCCCTGGGAGGGCAGCCTTCCAGAAAGGGGCGGAACTTCCGGACGCGCGATTCCTGTGCGCGAAGTTTGGGTCCGTAGTGGGCTCAGGGGGAGGGTTTGGAAGGGAGCGCACTTCCGGTGCCCTTTCTTTCCCCAGCATTACGGGTCCGAACCCTCGTGTGAAGGGTGCAGTACCTAAGCTGGAGGCGGGTGGAGGCGGGCCGGCACCCCCTTCTCACTTCTGGTGCCTCCAGCCTCAAGATTAGACATGGCCCAGAACTTGAAGGACTTGGCGGGACGGCTGCCCGCCGGGCCCCGGGGCATGGGCACCGCGCTGAAGCTGCTGCTGGGGGCCGGCGCCGTGGCCTATGGGGTCCGCGAATCCGTGTTCACCGGTGAGCCACCTTCGCCCGCTCGCCGGACCCTTCCAGTCCCTCCCGCAAACCCCTTGCCGTGTCTTACCCGGTCCCCGCGCCCCACCGGAGTCCGGCACTTACTCTGAGCAGCGGCCTGGCCTGATCTCCACCCCTCTCCCCACAGTGGAAGGCGGGCACAGAGCCATCTTCTTCAATCGGATCGGTGGAGTGCAGCAGGACACTATCCTGGCCGAGGGCCTTCACTTCAGGTAATGGCGGCCAGAGCCGACCGACCCTGACCTTTCACCTTTGACGCCGACCCAGCAGTGGCTATAGTCGGACGTGCAACGGGATTCAGCGCTGCTCTTTTCCCTCCTCATCCCGGCTCCCAGGACAGTGGGTGCTGCGCCAACCTCCAGCCGTACATAAACTGTTGCTTTCCAGAGGGCCAAGAGAATCTCTCCTTGTCTGTGGTCATGGGGAGGAGCAGGCCAAAAAACACGTGGTGAGGGGAAACCGGGCAAAGCTAGTGAAACTGTGGTCTCTCTTTTTTTTCTCCCCTCCCCACCACCACCTGCCCCTTGAGAGGGAGTCTTGCTCTATCGCCCAGGCTGGAGTGCAGTGGCGCCATCTCTGCTCACTGCAGCCTCCGCCTCCTGGGTTCAAATGATTCTCCTGCCTCAGCCTCACGAGTAGGTGGGATTACAGGTGCCCACCACCACGCCCGGCTAATTTTTGTATTTTAGTAGAGACGGGGTTTCACTACGTAGGTCAGGCTGGTCTCGAACTCCTGACCTCAAATGATCTGCCCTCCTCGGCCTCCCAAAGTGCTGGGATTACAGGCGTGAGCCACTGCAGCCTCTTAAAACCTATTTCTGTCCCCTCCAGGATCCCCTGGTTCCAGTACCCCATTATCTATGACATTCGGGCCAGACCTCGAAAAATCTCCTCCCCAACAGGCTCCAAAGGTAGGTCTGAGCACTTGGTAATCACATGGCAGGTGGGATGATCAAAGAATTATATCTGCTGTTGCATCCACTAGTACATTCTGTTCTGGAGAAGTTTGTCTCCACTCTTGACTAGTTCACCTGTTCTCCTAGACCATACATAGAAGCTGTGCTTTGAGTTCCCCGGACCTCTTCCTCCTTCTCACCCACACATACACACACACACCCACTGAGTTAGGTAGCTCACCAGTAACCTGTAATGTACGTTGTTTTTTTTTTTGAAACGGAGTTTCGCTCGTTACCCAGGCTGGAGTGCAATGGTGCGATCTCCGCCTCCTGGGTTCAAGCAATTCTCCTGCCTCAGCCTCCTGAGTAGCTGGGATTACAGGCACGTGCCACCATGCCCAGCTAATTTTTTGTATTTTTAGTAGAGACAGGGTTTCACCATGTTGACCAGGATGGTCTCGATCTCTTAACCTCGTGATCCACCCGCCTCGGCCTCCCAAAGTGCTGGGATTGCAGGCATGAGCCACCGCGCCCGGCCATAACGTACTTCTTTGTACTATACCTAGTGCTGGTCACTTACTCATTTTACTAGGCTGGGCGCTGGGAATAAAAGATTCATAGAACACGCTCTTGTCCCCCAAATCCTTACAGGAAACATGATTATGGTACAACATAAAAGCACCCACTTTAGAGGTTGCACAGAGTACAGAGGGGAAAAGAGGGGTCAGCTCTGCTGGTGACAGGGTTGCAGTTCAAGGATTCACAGTAGGTGAAGATGCATTTCATCCGTGCTGTGTCACGTCTTCCTTGTGTCAACCTGATTAACTCTCCTCCCCCTAGGGTAGTGCCAGGCTGTACCTCATTGCACAGGGCATAGAGGGAGGCACATGGAGGAGAAAGTGCTTGGGAAAGGGTGTTTGGCCTTGACCAGCCACTGCTGACCTCAATCTCAGACCTGCAGATGGTGAATATCTCCCTGCGAGTGCTGTCTCGACCCAATGCTCAGGAGCTTCCTAGCATGTACCAGCGCCTAGGGCTAGACTACGAGGAACGAGTGTTGCCGTCCATTGTCAACGAGGTGCTCAAGAGTGTGGTGGCCAAGTTCAATGCCTCACAGCTCATCACCCAGCGCGCCCAGGTCTGACTTCCACCACCGTCTGCATGGTGTCAGCCTTTCCCTCCTAGGTCCAGGGTATTGGGAATTAGGAAAGGCAGCTTATTAGCAACGGATTGTCACCCTACTGCCATTTCCACCTAAAAGCTGTGCTAATTGCCGCTGTGAAATAAGGAGAGCCAGCGTTAGAACTCGATAGCACTCGGTGTTAGGAAGCATGGAGGGAAATGGCCAAGTCTTGGCTTTTCCTGCACCTGTTTCAGCAGAGGCTTATGTTACAGGTTTGCCCAACAGGAAGATAATGCAATTCGTGTTGTATTGGGGAGAGTGAAGGATTAGGGGTCACTGTGAGCTGTAACAGTCCTGTCATCTCTCTAAGATGTCTCATCTGTTGCATGAAATGATTGAATCAAGTCCCTTCCAACTCAGATGTTGTGGTAAAGCACTGAGGAAGGGTTGATGAGTTTTCTGCCATTCTCAGAGGATCTGGTGTTCAGATGATCACACAACACAACCTTCCTTTCAGTTCTCCAGTCCCCTCAAATCACCCTGCCCTTTCCCTCCTAACCCTTCCCCCCAGGTATCCCTGCTGATCCGCCGGGAGCTGACAGAGAGGGCCAAGGATTTCAGCCTCATCCTGGATGATGTAGCCATCACAGAGCTGAGCTTTAGCCGAGAGTACACAGCTGCTGTAGAAGCCAAACAAGTGGGTGAGTCGCAGGAGCACTGGGGCGAGGGCTTCCAAGGTGCAGGAGGAGGAGAGACTCCATGAAGGGGGCTCCTGACCCAGGACTGGGTCTACCTGTCTTTCTCCCACCACAGCCCAGCAGGAGGCCCAGCGGGCCCAGTTCTTGGTAGAAAAAGCGAAGCAGGAACAGCGGCAGAAGATCGTGCAGGCCGAGGGTGAGGCCGAGGCAGCCAAGATGATATCTTTCTGCTGGAGAGATCTCAGCCCAGCCCCTAGGGCACCTGCGTTCCCCATCCTCCTTCATGGGCAGGCTGATGAGACTAAGGCGAATGCGATTCCGTGCCCTCCAGCCCTTGGCTCCTTCTCGGGGGTGGGGACTACAGATGAGATCTGAAATCTTGGTGGGGGTAGCTGAGGCCTGACTCCCCACTGTAAGGCCAGATCAATAGCATTGCTGGCCTTGCCTTCATTTCCGCTGCTGCCCCCAGTTCCTGGCAGCAGCCTACAGGGAGGCCCACAGGTGGGGTCCAAGGTAGAGCTGGGCACAAGTCACCTGAGCGCAACCTTGGATCTGACAGCCCAGAGGAGGACTGCAGCAAGGGAGTGTGGTAAGGATGGGGCCAGGGATTGAGGCCTGCCCTTGTGTGAACCTTAACTCTAACTCACCTTGGAGAAGCTCTGAGCAAGAACCCTGGCTACATCAAACTTCGCAAGATCCGGGCAGCCCAGAATATCTCCAAGACGGTGAGTGTCAGCCCGGCATCTCTGATGGGCTGCTTTGTGAGAGAAAGTGCTTTCAGTTGCCGGGCGCGGTGGCTCAAACCTGTAATCCCAGCACTTTGGGAGGCCGAGGCGGGTGGATCACGAGGTCGAGAGATCGAGACCATCCTGGTCAACATGGTGAAACCCCGTCTCTACTAAAAATACAAAAAATTAGCTGGGCGTGGTGGCGCGTGCCTGTAATCCCAGCTACTGAGGAGGCTGAGGCAGGAGAATTGCCTGAACCCAGGAGGCGGAGGTTGCAGTGAGCCGAGATCGCGCCATTGCACTCCAGCCTGGGTAACAAGAGCGAAACTCCGTCTCAAAAAAAAAAAAAAAAAATCAGTTAATTAGGCCGGGCGCGGTGGCTCAAGCCTGTAATCCCAGCACTTTGGGAGGCCGAGGCGGGTGGATCACGAGGTCGAGAGATCGAGACCATCCTGGTCAACATGGTGAAACCCCGTCTCTACTAAAAATACAAAAAATTAGCTGGACATGGTGGCGCGTGCCTGTAATCCCAGCTACTCAGGAGGCTGAGGCAGGAGAATTGCCTGAACCCAGGAGGCGGAGGTTGCGGTGAGCCGAGATCGCGCCATTGCACTCCAGCCTGGGTAACAAGAGCGAAACTCCATCTCAAAAAAAAAAAAGAAAAAAAAAAAAAAAAAAAAAAAAAAAAAAAAAAAAAGAAAGTGCTTTCAGTTAAGGCACATGGAAGTGAGGGAATTCGAATCTTGCTTATTCGGGTTTCTACTCAGATTGGCATCTCTAGCTGGGTGCAGTGGCTCATGCCTGTAATCCCAGCAGTTTGGGAGGCCAAGGCCGGCACATAACCTGAGGTCAGGAGCGCAAGACCACCCTGGCCAACGTGGTGAAACCCTATCTCTACTAAAAGTACACCAAAAAAATGAGCCAGGCGTGGTGGCATGCAGCTGTAATCCCAGCTAGCTACTTAGGATGCTGTGGCAGGAGAATCACTTGAACCTGGGAGGCAGAGGTTGTAGTGAGCTGAGATGGTGCCACTATACTCTAGCCTCGGTGACAGAGCAATACTGTCGTGAAAAAAAAAAAATCTGCTTCTCTGCATCTTTTCCCCTCATCAAGAATGATTCCTCTGAGTTCCCTAACCTTTTGTTCTTGCCTCTTTTATGGTGCTAAGAATCATAGCTGCTGCTCACCACTCTGGATCCCTGAACAAGAGCAGAAACCATGTTTTATTCATGGCTGTATCCCTGCCCCAGCCCAC